TCCGCTACATTCGTGTCTATTTCTGAGGTTATTACTGGTAGTTTACGCTGGAAATAAAATATGGTTATGTGAAAAAAAATCTTTATTTTTTGATTAATTTGAGTAAAAATCGATATTTTCGATAAATCTGATTGAAAATTGAGTTTTTTGAGTTTATTGAGGTTTTTGATGTAAAACTGATTTAATCTCAAAAAACTCAGCTTTCCCCCCCTTGCTAGCAGCACATAAAAAAGCATACTAGCAGCACATAAAAAGCATACTTTGGCACACTTTTTCCATGCCATTGGCACAATTTAAGTGTGCTTTTTCTAAAAGTATGCTTTTCCGGGACAGTGTACCTACGCCACTCTTAAACTTTCGTACAAACAAGAAAAGCTACAGAAAAGAAAAAAAAACTTTTCCAGGGCGGGCTCAAATGGTTTCAGGGGTGTTGAAAATTCAAGTTTTGTGAAATTCCCATGAATATTAAAGAAAGAAGGTCAATTCATTTAATTTTGAGAAGATTGTAAACTCATGGAGAATAGTGACAAGCAACACAGCTTATTGTAGATATTGCACAACAGCGTCAGAGAGAGGGAGAGGGAAAAAATAAGCAAACAAACAAGAGTGTATAACAAAGAGAAACGAGAGAAAAAGAAAATTCAAAAAGCGGTACATGTTCAACACTAAAGAGTAGCGTTCTTTCAACCGTCTTTTAAAAATATCGGCGTTTATTGTATGCGCAATAATGACTGACTAAGACTAACTAAGACTAAGATTGTTTATTCACGAAAAGTGAGAGTCATCAAAGGTCACCGACCTGTAGTAACAATGACTCAAGCCAAACAACACCAAAATAGTAATAAAAGAAATAACAAAATAAAGAAGACAACTAAGATTAGAACCAGAAGTAGTAAAATAAAACAAAAAAATTTAAAAAAAAAAAAGAACAAGCATAAATGCTTAACTGACAAGCGTTTCACTGAAAGAGATACTGAAGTAAAGCTGTTTTGAAAGACGTTAAAGAAGAAAGACAAATAACTGACTCTGGAAGATTATTCCAGTCAGTAATAGTTGAATAAAAAAATGAAGAATGCACCGTTTGTGGAGAAAAACCATCAACAGAAGGTGGAAGACGAACGTATTCAGAGTGATGAAGACGTAAAGATGAGTAGTGAGGACTGGAAGTGAGTTCCAATCTTTAGAGGTGTTAAGACGAAAGGAAGAAGCAGCTTACTTTGCATTAAAACGCCTAATTACAATCCGTCTGTCATGTTCTAGCCGCTGAGACTGGCGGGAAACCGCAGGAATGAGTGTTCGATAGTTCGACCTAGCAGTTTCGTCCAGGTTGTCCTGTCATTGTGTAGTGGGGTGATTTCGTCAACGTTTTTTTTTTGTTAAACTTTTTATCACCACCCTTTCAGTTTTTAAGATCTTGGACTAAATAAATTTGACTTAGTTAGTCATGTTAGATTCTGAGAAAGTAAAAGACTTACCAATTTGAGCGAGAAAATGTATTCCAGTGAATTGTTCTTTATTTTAAGCGACATTGTTGACAATTGTTTGGGTTGTTTGTTGGAAAAATGATCAACTGGCAGTTTTTGGTGTTTGAATTTACAAGATTTTGGTCGCATCAGGCACTCATCTCATCTACGCAAGCCCGCGCCTGCGTTAAGTCGTCCCTGGGCCTCAGCAAGGCAAAAGGCGTCATCGGCGAACAGTGACGTCAGTAGTACGTTTCTTTTTTTTCTCGGAAACTTTACTGATGTTTGATAGGAGAGGGATTGACAACAGTTGCTGACTACAAATTTGTTTTCTTTTGTGTATAGGTTTTACGAGTGCCCTTTTCCACATTTGAGGAAAATTTTCAAGGGAAACACTGAAACCATGACATAATTGAGTAGATACAGTGTCATCGCGCATTTTTAAACAGCGAACAGGAACATTGTCGATATCGACAGAGTTTGTTTTTTAAAAGCATAATTTCTTTGAAAACATCTGTATCAAACTCAACGTTTGAAAAGGATTTTGGTGGCGATTCATGGCACGGGATAATGCGCGGGTGGTGAGAAAAAAGAATGTTAAAAGTGGTCAGAAAATAGTTCGCTTTTAGTTTTGTCGTCAGTAACTGATTTGGAATTAGAATGTAAAACAGACAAATGGCATTTATTTATATCGTTCAGAAACATTTACTGTTTTTAAACTGCTTCATGATAAAATTTGCCTTATCGTTTTTGATGAAACTGACGACAGAATTTCTCAGTTTTTTGCACAAGTGGAACGACTGATCGGTCTTTTTGCCTGCATCTACCTTCAATTTAAACTTTTGAAATTAAATGTCGTATTTCGTTGTGCGTTAAAAACGAGTTTGGTGAGACTGACAATAAAATGTATTTTTCTTAGGAATACGGTTTTTAGTGGTAAAAAAAGGTGTCTACTTTGCCTGTTTTTTTTGTAGGTAGTAAAGCTTACTTTCGCCTTATGATTCATCGGCATCATACTGGCGCCGTCTTCTCAACAAGAATTGTTTTATTTTATCTAACTTCTTTTCTGTCAACTGAATTGTCAACTCAGATCGATAAATGCTGTCAAATGACCTTACACGATTTCATATGATCGTACAAAGTCTTATAAAAACACTACAAGATTTTATATGAATCAGTCTTCCCGAATCGGGGATCCCCCTTTCACATAAGACTCCATAAGATTTTTCTTATAAAAAGATTTCATAGGATCTGGCAAGATCTTGTATGATCATACAAAAGGTAGCAAGAAGATCTTACAGGATTATTTGCCTGGTCTTGTCCTACAAATTCCCTCTACACCTTGTTTCGAAAATTCTAACTTTGCAGGACTCATATGTTCTTCAGACCCGTGTCAGACTCAAGGGGGAAACAGCTGTTTTTTTGCTTAAAAAATCGGTTTAAATCGAAAATCGCTAAAAATCGCTTATGATTTTATCGGTTTTTTCCTTACTTTCACTATGTCTGATTCCCATTTTGTACAAATAAAGCAGGTTCCGCACTGTTTATCGCAGTCTCTTTACTTGATGTCCCAAACAAATCGCGGGAAATCGGCGAAAATCCCAAAACCAGCTGTTTCCCCCTTCGTCAGACTACTTGTTTTATACCCACATACTTTCTTGTGCTCATCTTTATAAGCTTTTATTCATTTTTCTTCCATTAAGCGCAAGTATCAATGTTGACACTGACAGTTCATGAAAGAAATTTTAATAAAAGCTTATCTTGACAGTCATCCAATTACCGATATCCTCCATGTTGATTAACAAATGTCACTTTGTGTGTCAGCTCCATATGATATACGTAAAGCCTTATATAAGATCATTGGTCTATAGAGGTCTCTCACAGCAGAAGTTTCAAGAGTTTATCTAGATAAGGAACTACTCTGTTGCCTTTGCATGAGCCATAACACAGGCATCAACTAGTCAGTCAATGAGCTTTTGTGTTTGGGCTTATTTACTTGGTAATGCTCTTTTGCTAGTCTTTGACGTCTACATTTTATTTCCCTGCAGATGAGCGGATACTGCTTAATAACCCTGTAATGTTGTCTGGCACCGAAGGAAACTATAAATGTTCTCCAGTTAGCAGTCTCATTAGTTCCACGTATAATATTTCTGAATTTTTAAAATAATTAAAAACTATGTATAGATTTTAACACAATTATTTTTAAGTTTTCGTACATCGCGTTGTTAGATAGAATATAGATTATGTTTGTGGATATTGACAACTGACCACTATCTCCTATATTCATTTGCATAATAATAATGGCCTCATTATGCGGTATTTTAGTTCATATTTCGTCTGGATATACGTTAAATGTGTGTTCTTTTTCTTAACATCCGACACAAAGAAATTAATTAATTATGACTATTTATCAATGTAAATAGGAATCATTCATCATCAACCTCTACTTTTTATTGCAAAAACCTAATCGTTTCCTGTCATTTTATTCTAGCCGTTTTTCTTTGATTTCAAATAGTGTAAGAGATGCACGTGGATGACACAAGTCATCACCTCATTTATATGAAGTGTGTGTTTGTGTGTAGATATACATATACATATATATATATATACGTTATTACTAACATTCTGTTTATTACTCAGATCTCTTATCTATACGTGTGTGTGTCCGAACGTTTATGATATAGAATTTTTTGAGATATTTCCGTATCTGTATGATGTAAGATATGATATGATTTTGCTACTGACACATAAATATACTCTCATCATGTGTAGATCAGGCATCTATATATGTAATAATTATACCACTATTTATCATCTTTCTTTTTCTACTTGGTAGCAGACAACTAATACCAGTAGAAAAAGCCTTTGGTCTAGTGTCAATGTGAATATTTCCAACAAAGTACTTATTAAACAACATTCATAGATTATTTGTACTACTTCTGATTGTTAATTAATTTATCTGTCTGTTTCGATGTTTTTTTGTATAAAAGATAAAAATATTATCATCATACAAATAACAAAAATATAAAAAAGTTATTTTAGAAAAAAACAAACAAACATTGAGCACAAAAAAAAACAGATAAAAATTTTTCGACACAAAACTGCCAAAAGCTATTTAAATATACCACTCTTTATTTTCATTTACACCAATTCGTTTTTTCTTTTTCTTTTTTGATGTTTTTTTCTTATGATTTTGTGATGATGATATATTATTAGTAGGTGAATTTTGATCATTTTGTAATTCAATAATTAATGGGCGAAATCGTTGTGCTTCTTCGACTTGATATGTTCCGACATCTTTCCTTCTATATTTAATATAGCCGATGAAAAGTATAATGAGACAGACGAGTAGCGCACTAACAGGTGCTATTATTAACCAAATATTAAATTTGGATTTTGAACGTATTTTAGATCTTGGTGAAACTAAAGGTGGTAAAACATCTGTATTACTATCACTAATCGATGATATATTTTGATTATCTAATGAAATAGAAGAAATCATCGATCGAGTCGTCACTCTTGAATCAAAAAAGTTTGACGATAATGTTTTACTTCTTGAAATAAAAGTATATGTAGTCATAATAGTTGTTGTAGTTGTTTGATAATAGTCTAATAATGATTTTAACGTTACATTTGGTAAAAATAAATTAGTTTCAAATTCTTCATCACAGAAATCGTCATTAAAATTATAGTCACATGTGAGTAAATTATCACGATTATCTATGTCAGGTGGATTTACGAGAAAAGAAGAACCATTATACATGGATGAGGGTCTAAAATTAATATGTTGGAATGTTGGAGAAATCAAATCAAATAAATTATAAATATCGTATGCAAAACCATACAATAAACCCTAAAGTTGAAAATTTTAAGTGATATAATTTTTTAACTGATTATAATTTTCAAAGGACATGGACGGTTAAACTAGAGAAATTCCACTCTTTTGATTTTTCTATCAAAACCGTGTTGACAGAAAGTTACTAGAAACATTTTTCACACCTTAGTTTCTCGAAATTTTGATGCAAGATTTTTGACACTATTCGGATGACCCTGAAATCTCTGGGAAAACATTTTATTCCAGCGTTTTTGAAATCATATGGACTAGATTCACAATGTTGCGCTTATCACGTATAAAGTTGAATTCGTGATTTTTCTGAATCTCCGTGGAATTTGTTACTACAAAAGACATACTGTACGATTACCAAACGTATCTTTCTTTCTACGATCAGTCTGTGCAACTAGCTGTAGAATATTAAGGCAGGGCTCAAAATACAAAAAGAATCATAAAACAAATTAAAGAATTCCAAAAAGGTTTGGTATTTTGTTTCTATTCTGTATAATATTATCATAGTTTCATGATTTTATTAATCAAACAAAGTGCTACAAAATGAATCCTTGCACTTGTCTTGTTTACAACTTCCTTAAAGTACGGAGATTTCTAATAGAATGAAGAAGAGTAACGGCAACTTCAGTGGACAATGTGCCTACAGTTTAGACTCATTTATTACTCATTACACACCAGATATAACAACTACCAGTTCCTCTAGGTTTCATCCAAAAACGATGAATAATTACAGAATAATGATCGCAAAAATCTATGACCATGATACACTGATTTTTTAATTTTTTGAGCCGCTTATTCAATAGAGTATCAAAAACTACAGCGACCATGCAATTTTTACTTTACTTTCGCTCTTCTTCAATTCACAATAGCAGAAACATGAACGAAACAATGAGTTTTCCCTATTTTGGGCCCATATCTCAATAATTTGACAACTTAATTTAAAGTTGAACACTTTATTTTAGCACGATTTGAAAGAGCACACAAGTTTACATACATTAAACACTTTTCTAGAGTTTCAGGAGCATATTTTTTGGTCGGTGGCAAGGTAAAACCGTTGGATGATATGACAGTGTCATCATTTAGTAAAAATCGATTTTTTCTATGCAGATGCAACCTTTTTCAACTATAGATAATAGATAATATACGTGATAAGCACAACATTTTAAATCTAGTCCATCTGATTTCAAAAACGCCGGAATAAAAAGTTTTCCCAAAGATTTCAGGGTCATCCGAAAAGTGTCAAAAATCTTGCATCAAAATTTCGCGAAACTAATTTGTGAAAAATGTTTCTAATAACTTCCTATCAACACATTTGTGATTGAAAAAGTCAAAAGAGTGAAGTTTCTCTAGTTTAACCGTCCATGTCCTTTTTAACTTACTTGGAAACCCTGTTTAAGTATTGTGTTATAACCAAGATAAACTGATCTTTTTCTAATTTTATAGTTAGTAATTTTATTTGATAGTTGTTTTTCTGTTATTTTTCTATCAATTTGTAAACGAATAGATGAATAAGTTCTTTTATATACAACTAGATGATATTTTCCATCATTAATTTCTTGATCATTGATTAATTGTTCACGTTCATCTTGATTATTAAAAATCAGTAATACTTTCAAACGTCCTTGATAAATATCTATTTGTAAATAATCTTCATATGTATTAATACCATTAGATGTACGCAGAACACAACCAGACATTACTTTTGTTAATATACCTATAAAAAATTAATTTATTAAATAAAATAAAATAAAAAATTGACTAGTTTGTTAATCTTACCAAATGATATAGTTTCATGATTATTATCATGATAATCATTTACTAAACTATGTTGTCGTTGTAGTTGTTCAACATCAAATGTAATACCAGGACCATTTTCATAAAATCGATATCCACGTTTCATATTCATACAATATCGTCCATTAAAACTTGTATGTTTACAATCACATGTATATAATTGTGATGATATTGTTTGATTTGTACATCGTCCATTATTTCGACATTTTTTAGTTGGACAATTTGTTGTTGCCTTATTTAAATTACAATTAGTTATAATTGTTTTTCCATAATAACGATAATTCATTAGATTAATGGGAATATGATTAACAGATAATGATGCAAGACATAATTTAACAGAATAATCATTTGATGATATTGTTTCTAATGTTATTGGTGGTTTACCAAAATATAATTTATCTTTAAAACGTATTTGTTGTTGTTCTTCTCCAATAAATAATGAATATTCAATTGTATCAAGTATCAATTGAAATTGTTGTATATCAATACGATAAAATGATAATTGATGCCATTTTCCATCATTTATATCCTCATTTAATTTTGAATTAATTTCATATAAAATATTATTTAATGATAATTTTAATTGAATTTGACCATTAATTAATTGTATTTTAAAATAATTTTTTTTTGAATAATCATTTTCATCATGTTCTTCATTCATTTGTATATTAGCATAAAAAATTAAACCATTTTTATCAATTGTACGAAAATCAAATGACATTGTAATTAATTCAAAATATATACCAAATATATTAGCTAAATTTAATGTAAAATATGAATAATTATCAATAAGTGAAACAGGATTTTGTGGTTTAAAATATCTTATAGGTTTTAATTTTATTGTACGATTAGAAAATATTGAATAACGATTAATTAAAAGATTTGATATTTTTATTTTTTGAGCTAAAAATCTGAGCCATATTTTTGTTTTTGGATATGTTTCTATATCATTTTCAATTATTAATTTTTTAATTTCAGTTTGTTTAACATTATCATCAACATAGAATAAAATTTTTTGATCAAAACGTTGAAAACGAATAAAATGCCATTTTTGATCAAGAATAAATCGACTATTTGTTATATTTATATAATTATAATATTTTAACATGAAGCGAATTTCTAATAAACCATTTTTAATTGAAAAATTGAGCATTTCATCACAATGGAATGATGTTATTGAACATGGACGAATGGAAAAAAAATTTTCTTGATCATAATTAGCCTAAACCGATGAGAACTCTTTTTACTTTATTTATAAGAAAGAGAGAGTGAGACATACCTTTAATCGAAATGTAATATCATTAATTTCATCTGTCCATTTTAATTCTGTATTAATTTCAAAATTTTCATATTTTTCTATTTCTAATTGATATGCAGCTTGTTCACAATAATATCCTGTATAACTTGTTTTAGAACAATCACATTGAAAACGATTCCAACTTATTTGACATTCACCACCATTTAAACATAACGATGGTTGACAATAATTAAAACCACTATTTTCAATACAACCACGACTAATACCAGATGATAATTTTTTTAATAAAACATAATGTGTTAAATTCAGAGCTACACCAGTTAATTCAAAATCAGATATACATCCAATAAATCCTCGATTAATTGTACCTGACCAAAAATCATTTGGCATCATTTGAATAGATGGATCAATGCCTCCAATAATCAATAAATTTAGCTAAGAAAGACAAAAAATAAAAATACAAAAATAATGAAAAATAGTTTTGATAAATATTTTTAAAACTTACATGAAGTTTATTGTATTTACTAACTATTGAAAATCGTACTTCATTTTCTTGATCGATAAATATTGATATATCAAGTCCACCGGTATGATATCTTATAAAAATGCGAATATGATGTTGATTTCCATCATTATATCGTCTATTTGTTATTTCTCTTCTTTTTGACATACTTCGTCGTCTACTATCAATATTAATTGTTAAATATAAAAATCCATCAAATAAATCAAGACCAAAAAAACTTTGATTTAACTTATTAGAAGTTCCAATTGCATAAAATAAAACACCATGATTTTCTATTGTTCGAAATGATAATTCAATTTGTTCATCATAATTTTTATTCCATTTAGTATCATTAATTAAATCAATTGTTAAATATGAATTTGATGTTAAAAATGTAATTGATTCCATTATTGTTTCACATACTTCTTTTATAATATTACCATATGAATTTATTTTTATTGATGATTCATTATTTAAATATATTTTAGTTAAATCTAACTGTCTATTTTCAATTGAATAGATAATATTTTTAAGACAACCTTGAAATTTATAATTACACATTGAACGTTCTAATTCATTTATTGTACCACCAAGATAAATTTGTTTTATTTTTAATAGACCTTTTAATGATTGATCATGTGTTGTAGTAACATGATATTCATCGTCCAATATCAAATCTAATACTGTCTGTCGACGAGTTATACGTAATAGATGCCATTTATCATCAGATAATGTAATACCACCATTACCACCATTATTCCAATTAAATATTGTTGTACTTATTAATTCATTATTACTTCCACCATTTGTTAAAGGTGTTATTAAACTATTTGTTAATCCTGTTGATGTTAATATTGGACGCCATTCCAATGATACATTAGAATTTAAACGATATTCAATTAAAAGATGACCACGTTCAAAACAAATTAGAAAACGTTGATTTTCATTATCATTACTAATACCATAAAATAGTAGACCATATTGTTTATTTGTTTTAAATTCAAAACTTAATGTTTCATTATCATATGATTCAATTGGATTTATTAATTTATATGATAAATATTGTTTACCTTTAAATGTTAATGCATTTGATTTTTTTTTATTTTCACATGTAAGACCTTCTAATGTTTCATCACATAAACACCAATAACTATCATCTGTTATCATACATATACCATGTTTACATTTTGAATGATTACAATTATTATCATCAATTAATGATACACCTTCCATTCGTTGTTGAACAGGTTTAACTAATTTTTTTGTACAATTTTTATAAACAATATTTCTCATTTTACCCTTAAATCTTGGTTGTAAATAAACATCATATGATGATAAATTACCGTAATTATGTCTTTCTAACATTGTTGGTATACCTAGAAAATAAAATAAAGAAGAAGAGATTCATCAATATTTGACATTATTAAATTTTATTGATAATGATAAACTCACCCCCAAAATAGAATAATGATGATTGATATTCATTTGCTGTTGAACCACCAAAATATAAATCTTCTTTTTCTGTTATTGTAGAATTTTGTACTTTACCATTATCAACAATTAACGATGTTATACGTCCATATCGTCGTATTTCAATTGTATGCCAATAATTATCATTTATTTCATATTCAACATTTAATGCTTGTCTTTCACTTCCCAAATTAAATAATAAACGTAATTTACCTTCAACTAATTTTAAATAAAAAAAATCATATTTTCCTTTATCATCAATATAAGCCAATGTTCCCACTAATGCTTTTGTTTGTATATCAAATCGTACATAGCCATTTAGACAAGGTCGCCATGATTCATAAGCAACATGAGTATAAGTTGCACCAGAAAAATTCATTATATGATCGGATAATACGTTTGTTATTTGTACGATTAATAATGATAAAATAATAATAATAATTGTCGATGTTTTATAAAGAAATAATGTTCGTATTGTAGTTAGATTATTTACGATTGATTTAACATATATTGCCTGTTTAAACATGGTATGTTCACTGTCACCGATGTCATGTACAATCAATTTTAGATACAATTTTAGTTGATTTATATATCGATAAAATGAGAATATTTTGACAATTATTTTTGCTCAATTTAACACTATCAAAATACATCGTTAAAAATGATGTAAATAACTTTTTTTATCTAAACAAACGAAATATAGTATAATTATCAGAAGAAAAAAAAAAGTTAAATTTTTAATATTGTCTACAGAAAGCTATTATTACAGAAGAACTATTATTATAGAAAAGCTGAAAATTCGTATAGTACTCTTACATGTAATAGACAGATTAGAATAATTATATTAATAAAATAGTCTTGAAGAGAAAACAACAAAGTATGCTAACATTTTCTCTAGCTAATGTTCAATAGGTCAAATTTATAGAATGTATATTTGTAAGTCAAATCTACCTAGAAAAAAAAAAACGATGTTTCATACAACTTAATAAATGTTTTGTTGTAAAATGCAATAGTGTGTGAGTTATAACAAGGGTATCACAGTTTCTTTTATTTCTTGAAAAATTTTCATCTATAAGCTTCTTATTAACCACTATTCACTTTTTCTTATTGTTTCAGAACAAATTAAGGCTTTTTAGGAAAAAGAAAAGAAAAATGCCATATAAGATTCAATGGAATTTAATTAAAATAACAGTTTAAATCTGTCACTTGGATTTCACTAAAAGACTTTTCTTTCAATCTAAGTAAAAGCTGAAACAAAAACTGTTATTTGTCCTTGAATAACAAAAACTATCCATATAATTATTTTTAGCTTATTTTAAAAAAAAAAGTCTAAGAATAATCGTATTTTCTTTTCTTAATTCTCTTGTCTAATAATTCATTAATTGAACACTTACCTGAAATTACGATCAAACACTATATAATTATTTTTTTGATTTAGATAATATTTCTAGTTGTATATTGAAAAATAAAAATAAATTGGGTAGTTTTTTTTCTTCTTCTTCACTCACACAATACATACTTTCGATGACTTTTCCTTTTCTTTTCCTCCCATGTGGTGCCATATCAAGAGTCCCGCATAATGACCGTCGCCTGTTACTACTCAGTAAATACTAGATTATGTAGGCAAATATATCAAAGCAACACATATACGAATGGTTCTCTCATATATATAGAAACTTATACTAATAAATAATATAGTAATAATTCTCATCTTGCATAGAAAAGCGAAGGAGAGAGAGACAGAGAGAGAGAGAGAGAGAATATTTACTAGGATAATTCTCTGTGAAAGTACAACGATAGAATATATTAGTGGTAACAACTAGAAGAAAAAAAAAGAAAGATGTCTCTATATAATTAAATATATTTGTGTACATAACTGATATCCGGCCCATTTGTAAGTGTGAAACAAATATTGTCTATCTGATTGAATATTTTATTATTAATAAGTTTTAACGAGCTGTATAACGGAATAAGACAACTTTAAGAGAGACTGTAAGACTTTAAGATTAAGAGGTTTTTGCTTATCATAACTACTACTATTAACAAAAGAGAAGAAGTTTGTTCTCAGCATGATGCATACGTGTTTCTTTGTGTAGAACATCTATTTATTTGCTGCACAGCATGATTTGTAATGTATACCTTCATTATAAAAATCTATTATTTGTCCTATTGATATTGTGATTCATGATTCGACAAACTAAGCACGACATGAATATTGCGTATTTCAACTTAATAACCCTGATAACGGCTATGTTGTGTAAAGATCCTATTCATCCTATAAGATAAACAAATCTTAGCAGGACACTTTAGATTGAAGCTAAAAGCGGTGAATCCGCACACTTTTATCATCAATGAATAAATCCATATCCCAAACACCGCACATAATTATAAAAATTTGAAATATACATAATCTCAAATTCAGCACACTTTTTAATTAACGAGTAAACATGGACTGTACAGAATGAAAGACAATTAACAAAACATATGAAAGCAAGAACCCTTGCTGCAGTACCTAACAAAATCAGATTAGAAAATGTATCATATCTGAAACTAAGTTACTTACCAACATTTATATGAAAAAAAATCTTCGCGAAGATTATCTTTCTTCTGTTCATCTGGTATACGAATTCTTTCAAATTACTTAACACACCCGGAAGACTACTGTTACGACTTCAGTATAATGACGATCATACTGAATCAAATACTGGTAATATACGTCCAGTTTGTACAAACTATAAAACAAAATGTTGTCAACAGAACCGAAAAAAGGCCCAAAGCAAAAGACTTACAAACGTAATACTGTCTTGTTCATAAATTTTTTGGTACTGCAGTTGTTTCGTGTTTTGCTCTACGTTTCATACAACGGATACATTGTTGTTCTGAATTTTGAATGACTCGGTCATTCTATGGAGCTAGTTTACAGAGAATTTGGCTAAAACATACACAGATAGCGGCGACTCATCGACAAAATTTTTCGCAGGAAATGATCGTTGTAGTACTTTTCATAACTGAGATATAAGTTAGATATATTTTATCTTTCTTTCTGCACAGTCCACGTTTTACTTGTTAATTAAAAAGTGTGCGGAGTTTGAGATTACGTCTATTTCAATTTTTATAATTATGTGCGACGTTTTGTTTATTCATTGATGGTAAAAGTATATGGAGTTCAAAAAGTAACGCTGTTAGTTGTCGTATGTTAATTATTACTAAGTATGCTCAAAAAGAGAGCTGTGTTTGAAGAAGAGAGCAGCTACATCTCTATTGAACTTCATAGTTAACCATCATATCATATGAATGGAAGCTCTGCGTAAGTAAAACAACATGAAGACTCGAGCATATTATTAAAAATGGATTTTAGAAAACGGAAACAAAATGTTCAAATTTTAGCTAACTAAAAAAAATCAGCTTTTCTCTATGGTTCTCTTTCAATATTCTTTTTACAAGTGCTACTGGCAAAAAAGTTTCTTTCACACAAAATTCATATTAACCATTTCATCGTTTTTAAAATTCGTGTTTTAATACTCTTAAATAGGGATGCAACGATAACGAATTATTGTTATTGATCTTATCGTTAACGACAAAGAAGGAGAACGATAATGTCAATTACGGTATACCGGTAAAGTTTTATTATCATTGCACGCCTACTCTTGAACCTTAATATTGGTCTTCTCATACGACGCATAGCGCTGAGAATGATAAATGGAAAAAATATTTACAAGAGTAATCCTGAACACTTAAAGATCGTTAATACCTTTCTTTTGTCTGTGTCACTTCATTTAAAAAACAGAACTATATATATGTTTATGTATATATGCATAAGAATCACAGCAACAACGATAAATTCTTTTTAGTTGCATATTATGATAGTTTGCCTATATGATATCATATGTGTTCATTGGGTGATTCTATTACAAATGATACAGATTTCCCAACAGATATTCATGTATGTAGAATTATATCTTCAGTTTACTTTAGTAGTACGACGATGAAAAAAAAGAAAAAGAAAGCCACAAGTGGGCAGATCTATTTCTAGATGAAGAAGATATTGGTGTGTTTTGAGAATATTTTTCTCTCGGAAATATACAGAAGCTACGATATGTTATCTCAGAATTCTTATTCTCTATGACAAAAATGATATGACAATCGAGGGACCTGTCAATATTTATATTCTGATGACATTATATCATGTCTATACACGACAATATTTTTACATGCTACTGTAATAAATACGAGTAGAACGTTTTATTTGTGGCTACTATCGTCGCTAAAAAAGAATATTCGTGGTTATTTTTTGAATAACTTGAGAATGGAAGAGAATCATAAAGAGCTGCGGTTTTTATTATTCGATGGACAAGAAATTATCCCATTCTTTCTTAAGCAAAACGTTTATGATGAAAATTTCTGAAGACTGGTTTTCTATAGGATCTTAAGAAAACCAGTTTATATCTCTGGGAACTGAGATAGGAATCTATTGACTTTTTTTCATGTATAGGTAGCTCAAAGTACCTTCTATAAAACTAGATCTAAACGAGATCTTAAAACTCCATCGCTCGGCTGAAAATCCAGATTTTCTGGGACCAATAGGATCGATCTTTCTCTTAGTCCAAAACACATGATCCATAGATAATCGATGCTCCCGATCGCTGTGGCAATGCTTATTTCATTGAAAACCGCGCCTCTTTACGATGCTGCGTTCTCTAATTATTCAAAAAATAATCACGGACATTCTTTTTTGGCGACGGTAGTAGTTTATACATCATATTGAACTTATTCTGTTACTATCAGAAAAGGATTATCTATTTTATGAGAGACCAGAACATCATTTTTGTAGCAATATTCTAAATCACCATTTAAATAAGAGATCTTTTACATTATATTATATTAATCAGGTAAAAGTTAAAAGCATTTTTTAGAAAGTCACAAATAATTGAACTAGTAAATCCTTTAAAATTCTAATACATTTGCTACTTTTATGCTTACTATTTTGCCAAAGGAGAATGCATTATGTAAAAAGGAGAATTCTCTTAAATACTTATATACTGTTGTAAACATATAATAACCCGGAATATGTTTTGTGTTTATTTATTTGTCAATCTTTTACAAATTATGGAAGCAAGGTTGAAAATGATTTGTTCGTCAACTCCTTTGGTATTTTTATTCATTCAGCAATGAACAATGTACTAATCTAACCTTTACATTCTTTTTTTGTTTATGAATGGTAATGCTCATCATATTTTAACTGACTTCTGTGTGATTTTTCCATTCATGGTCAAAACAAGTACGATATGTAGGTGACAAACAAAAAATTCATGCTAAAAACAAACAAAAATTCAAAAGCCACACAAACATCAACAGATCTATTAACAAACTGACAAGATAGTTAGATATATTTCATGCCTGTTATAGGAAATAAACGTGGATGCATCTTTTTATCTAGATAACAGATAAAATATAATTTTCTTTTTTTATCAGCAATACTCAATGCTAAACATTTCAAAACAACAGGATATAGTTTGCACAGACTACTCGTTGCTTACGTAACACAACCATCAAATATAACTTTAACGTATAGTGGGCAGCAGAGTAAGCCCACAAATAGGCGCAAAAACAGCGTTCTTCTTAAAAGTGGTCAAATTCCACATTTTGTTGAGAAAAATAGTTTAAATTTCAGGTCTCAATTATTGTATTTGAGAACATTGTGTTGCTATGTGTTTTACGGGGATTTTCTGCACTTAAACTTCTATTGTTACTTTAATTTACTTTATTCTAGTCACTAGAATCTAGTAAAGCAGAATCTTTGACCCTCAAAATGTGTCACAGCTCATTTTTTAAAGACTTATTATTGAATTAAGACAAACGTACTTGTTTCCTATGCTGCTAACAACCAATACTAGCGATGTTCCTATACCTTCATGGCAACTTTATCTTGAATGGATGCCATTTTTTACAGTCTTCTTCATTCTTAATCATTACAATGACGTTTTCACCTAGCTACAGCTGAAAATCTTTGAAAACTTACACTGTCGTAACTATTAACTATATTTTTAAAATAAGAAGAAATGAATTCAGATTAAAAATAAAACTAAATTAGAGAACTCTTACTATCGATGATGCTGCTTAACGACAATGCTTAGTTATTTATCAACCATGATGGTATTAAAATTTTTAACAAATTTTTTGTAGATGTTTGGGGACGAGCAGATGTTGTAGTGACGCTAATTGGTCTTGTTGTGCTCGATCCTCCTGTATTTACTAATGACTGAGGCGTTGTTTTTGTACCACTTATCGATGTGGGTTGAACTGAAGGTGAAGGATGACCAGTGCTAGTACTCAGAGTGGTTGATGGCAGTGCCGTTGTTAAGTAATGATGTTTTAAGCAACATTGACTAAAAGGTTCGAGAGTTGTGAAACGGCATTCATGTGAACTCGGACATGGATTATGGTAACCACAGGTGAATCCAATTATTGGTTCTCGACAGCGGTCAAGTGGTTCTCGTCGACATCTGCATACTGAACATCCTGATGTATCAACGTCCAATCCAAAGGGACAAAATATCGGACAAACCGGTACACATGCACAGCACCAGTATGCGTGTGTTAAAAAAGCAGAAGCAATAATGTAAACCCAGTTCATCTTGTCTTCAAAACAACGATAAGTAGCAATAAAAGTATTGCTTTAGTACTTCGTCGACGTGATTTTATCTGAGCTTAGAAAACACCGGATGGTCAAATTCTCATCCTTCAGAAAACATTCTCATCATCGTACATTGTATACAATGTACGACGCTGCTAGCGTATACGCTAGCAACATAGGAAACAAGTACGTTTGTCTTAATTCAATAATAAGTCTTTAAAAAATGAGCTGTGACACATTTTGAGGGTCAAAGATTCTGCTTCACTAGATTCTAGTGACTAGAATAAAGTAAATTAAAGTAACAATAGAAGTTTAAGTGCAGAAAATCCCCGTAAAACACATAGCAACACAATGTTCTCAAATACAATAATTGAGACCTGAAATTTAAACTATTTTTCTCAACAAAATGTGGAATTTGACCACTTTTAAGAAGAACGCTGTTTTTGCGCCTATTTGTGGGCTTACTCTGCTGCCCACTATACGTTAAAGTTATATTTGATGGTTGTGTTACGTAAGCAACGAGTAGTCTGTGCAAACTATATCCTGTTGTTTTGAAACGTTTAGCGTTGAGTATTGCGTACAAATGCCTTTTCGTCGTGCAGCTTCATCAAAACGTACGACTAACTTCGCTACATTGGCAGAACTTATGGTTCTCTAATGAATCAATAGACCGTAACTACATCAATGAGATATCAAAGAAGTGGAATTGCGTTGTTGCCTGTTAAAAGTTTCCAATGCATTAGAAGACAAGTGAATATATAGAAAATATATCTCTAGCAAAACCATATCCGGAGTGTCAGTTATATCATTTTTTAAAAGGGTACGGTAGCAAAAACTTCTACACAACTTTTGAAGAACTACAGTTCTGAACCTTTGTACTATAATTTGAATATAAATCAAAGGATGGTATGAAGCTGCCATGATACGTGTTTTTATCGAAGTGCATTGTGTGTGTGTATTCTTCTAGTTTAAATATCACCAGCCCTATTTCAGAGTATCTCGAATGATGTGGAAAAGGATTTGTGCATGCTCTAGTCGTCCAATTGCTTAATTAAACACAGTAGAAAAGCATACTGTCTCTCATGTCTCAACTTAAAGTCGTACTGATGAACATGGGCATACAAGACTCAGTTTTAATGTCAAATCCCACCCTAGCATTTCTTCATTTTGCATATTCTGGTGCTGTTTCACCTTTTGAACTTTGAACTTTTATATCCTACATACCAATAAAACTGTCGATTGTAATCGCAGCATGATGCAGGTAGAATTCCGGGATGGAGAATAATTTTGTGCGAGTTGGCTTTTATTTTTGAATGGATTTGTCACGCTTTTCATTTCCCGTAGAAAAACTACTTAAGTTTAGCACATTATAGAAAAATAAGATCTCGCTTCCGCTCACAATCGTAATGAAGAACAAGTAGCATACAAATCGCGGTTTGTGTGTCCCAAAGTGAGAGTTAAAGAAACCTAATAGGAAGAGTTTATTTGATTGTAGCTGCTATTATCGAATCTTGAGAACGCAAGGAAAAAACTTAGAATATTTGCTTTGCTTCGTCTTAAGCATTTTCTTGAACAGTAAAATTCTCAGAATTTCAGAAAATGATAGGATATCAGTCCGGTTGAACAAATAATAAGTTTTTTAACTCATAACATAACGAATTTGATTAACTCGTCATTTAACATCGCTAATTTCAATTCTATGCTGTAAACCAAATGTATGGAATCAATCTGTTGAAGTTCTTGCACAATATGTACGCTGTGGTCTTAAACCACAATGAACCAGAATTAATTTCAGTTTTGTCTGTGTCATATGGGCATAGTTTTTCTGTAGTGTGTAGAGACAAATGCTTCTTTAGAGTGCGTCATTGACTTAGCGATAGTATATTGTTAAGGCTAAGCACTAAAAATTCATTAGTCGGAAATATCAACCAATAATATTTTTGCATAACAGCTCTTTATTTTTTAATCATATTGTGAATAAATTATGAAGCTTTCAATTCGACCGTTATTGATTCTCCTATATGAATTAAACAGTCGACCTGTGTGTGTAGTTTTTCTATAACTACTGTTGATCAGATCAAAAAGTTCTGAACCAAAAGAAGTATTAGAGTTGTCATTTTTGCTCAAAAGCAAATATTTAACCAGTTTAATCAAAAATAGTCCTAACTTTCTTGCGTCATCTCTCTAATCTATAAAATATCCGAACAATTTTTTCTGTTCTAAACTGGCTATGAAGCTGTCTTTCATCACTCATCAAGCATAATTCTATAAGAAATATGTTTGTTGGAAGTAGCAAATTAAATATGTATTTGTCTACTGGAAGGGCGCTGTAATGCATCAAAACTCAAATGATTTCTATTACAATAGTAACTGCGATTTATCCTGCTCTTAACCTTTAGATTTCTACAATGTTAATTGAAGGAATTGGTGATGATGTCATTATTGTTGCTACCATCTTATTCTTTGTTTGTGTAATTGCATTTGCTTGGTTATCGACATATGTGAATCATATTCATTTTCCGACAACCTTGTTTATCATCGAAAGACGCAGTAGACGACGAAACAGTCAGCGTATGTATCAATAAACTAGCTTTTTAGTACTGTGATACAGTATCAATGTTCTTCACGTATGTTTCTAGATGACACCACCACTGAAACTGCATCCGACATCCAAGTACAAACAGATGAACATCAGCCTGATAGTAATAACCATAATGGCCTTGTGAGAGAAACAATTAATGAAGCACTCAATTATGACTTACAAGATCATCATTTTCCATCTGGAAGTGAAACTCAGACTGAAGTTGATTCAGATTTAGAGTAAATCTAATTTCATTTGTTCATCTGTCGTGTATTCTGAGATTTTCCTTTTTTTTAGATCAAGTGAAAATGAAGAATCATTTTTATCCGATCCGTTAACGACTAATTCAGCTGAATCCTCTGTTGTCACATGTGCTTGCCCAAGTCCATCATCACAAGACAGAATTACGGACGAATCGAATGACCTATCCAAACGAAATCAAAATAATGACAACGATAAAACTACGAATAGCGATGTACCTCTACTGGTCAACGAAAATTCATTACACATTTTAATCAAATTTTTGAACGATACGCAAAAAGCAATTGTAGCCAGTCCTAATGACACAATTTCAGCACTGAAAAGGCATAATTCCTCTTTACTTTGTTTTTAGCTGTTTAGTCTCTACGATGTTTATTTTAGACTGTACTTTGCCGATGAACTGGCTGATAATAAAAGTGTGAGATTTATTTATCAAGGACGCGTACTAGACGATAAATACACACTACGATCATACAATATCAAGGACCAAACAACAATTCACTGCCAAATATCACAAGTAGGACGACTATCACCAACGACATCAACACAGCAACAACAGAATAATTCTCAGCAAACATACGATCATCCATATATTGACTCAGCACTTATTGATACATCATCATTTCTAATTTTATTACTTGGTTTAATGCTCTGTGTTGTTTGGTTTCTTCGTGTTAAATGTCGTCAGTTATTTACACCAATATCAACGTTAATGTTGATTATCATCACACTTATGTTTTTGATATTTACATTTGGTACGTATGTATCACCTCGATTAAGACAAACAACGCGAACAATATCCGTTACATCACCAACATCTCACGTACAGCATGTTCATATTGATTAGATAGGTGCTGCTCCCTCCCTATCAGCTGATTAATTAGGCTGTAACAACTATCCGTAATCTCAGCAAAATCATATTTTTGTTATAAAAAAATCGTGTATAATCGAAATTCGTATTTATGTTTCATACATTCAAGATATTTTTACGGTTCAGCACTTCTATGAATTATTTTTTAATTTTCAGAAAGCATAATGAAAAAGTATATTTCTATCTTCTTCAGATATGTCAAACAACGTGTCATAGAACAGTTTTTATACAAGCTATTTTATGGAAAAAAATAAATATGTAAATAAATAGCTAGTTTTCTTTGAATGCTGAAAGGGAAGGAAAGATTATCCTTCTTTTTCATTAAACTTGTTTATAACCAAATATGAAATAATCTAGGTGTCTCGTAACATTAATATGCAAGAATTTGCGTCAGTTTTGTCTACAAAGAAATAATCCTGTTCTCGTTTCAGATGAATGAAAAACTTCTTCAAGATATCTATTGTATTTCATCATCATTATTCTGTCCATAGGTAAAATTACGAACAAATAATCTTGACACTGTTTATCACAATATTCGAATATTTATATAATTATTAAATCTGTGCGATGAGCAATTGTGAGAAAATCAACGCGGGAGGAAGGTGGACTTTTTTCTATCCGAAGAGGGCCTCCACAAAAAGTCTTTTCTCTCTATTCGCGAATTATTTTACTCATTAATTCTCTTGTTAAAAGAAACGTTCTTCCTGAAAAGTTTTTCCTCATCCTAAAAATATTACAAACGAAAGCTATGCATCTAACAAATATTCAATTGATTGAAGAGTTTTGTGTATGATCAAGTTTATCTTCATTTGAATTACTCCGTTAGTCCGGCAAAATATGGTCAATAATAATATCGTATAACTACAATAATAGTGGATAATAACCCAAATGAAAACTATCATATTGATGATGCGTTTTTCCTATTATAATACGTACAATTATTATTATTTCAGTGTTCATTCATTGAAGTCAGCTTCAACAATGGTTGAGATAGAATTCGAGTTAATTGAATTAATTGGCATAGTCGATTGTTCAAACCTAATAAATAGCGATGATGGATCGTACATGGAACATCAAGTACAAAATATTTAACTGTTACTATTTCATTGGTTATGAATGAGTCATCTCAATTGTATTAATAATCCAACCGATAAAAATAACGAACTACATTTGACCAAATGTCAAGAAATATCAAATGGTTTATCGAATGTAAATGTAATATAAAATGAAGTAAATGGTTATTGTCAACAGATGCTCAGATTAAACCAATGACTAGTGTACATAAAAGTTTGACAAAAATTCAATATGGTAGATCAACGATGTCAGATACTTTTTTATATCTTTGTGTAGTAACACAGCCTACTTTTTTAATTTAAGTCAAATATCATAGTTGAAACATTGTTTTATGTTGCTATTTAATAATGTGATGAACTTGAATTTGAGTAAAGAATGGAAAAAATACTTGTTTTACTTTCTTACTTATGGAATGATTATCGTTTTCTATTTTCATATGTTAAAATTTTTTATATCGATAGGGAGAAAGCAGACATGTTTTAACTTTCTTTCCTCTATGGATTGAGTGGGACACTGTACTCCTATGTTGCATATGCAGTTAAAAAATCTATCGTGGGCTTACAATCTTTACTAGAAACATTAGTTACAACACGATGTTAGTCTTTTGTAGTATGATGTTTGTAGGTTGTTTTGATTCGTACCATCATCTTTATTCACATTGTCATTTGCGAGTGTTACAGTATCTTTCGATTTTTGAAATGGATTTTGTATTATCAGTTCTTTATTTTTATTCATTCGGGCAATAACGCTCTCTAACAAGAGTTCGATTGATTCTGTAACGTTGGTATTTGCAAGAGCACTTGTTTCAATGTATTGAAGGTTACATTGTTGTGCGAATTCTTGAGCCCTGTTTTTATCAATTACACGCTCACTTTTCAAGTCTTTTTTATTTCCGATAATGATCATATCGGGATCATTTGTGTAAGCGTTGTTTTGAAGTTGCGTTATCCAATCACGAACATTTAAAAATGAATCTTCATTTGTTAAGTCGAATACCAGTAAAAAACCAATTGCATCACGGAAGAACGTTGTCGTTAAACTACGAAAACGTTCTTGTCCTGCTGTATCCCTAAAAAATGAGAAAGACTGTCTGTTTCATGTTTTTTAATCGGATCTAGCGATATTTTCTGAGTATGAAGTTCTGAGTCTTCTTGCTCGCTATTAGTTCTTCACTCTAATTGTAAAGGACGTTGTTGTACAGAGAAAATTTATTTAACTAAACCGTAGACGAAATGCTAAAAAGCTCACTCTATCCAATCAATGCTCATTTACTAAATAACTAGAATTGTACTTACACTACAATTCTAATACATAGAATTTACAAATTAACATAGAATTATAACCGTAGAACGACGTTGTTAGTCTATATCTCATACAAATCTACATATTCTTCGGTGTACAATTACAGTCCACAGTGTCCTTTCCACATTTAGACATCTGAGATTTCCATCCATGAAGCTTTGCTCCAAGATTGAGTCTAGACATTACTGGATAACCGTAGAAATGATTGAGAGCATAGGTTATTGACTAATTCTGCATCTTGCAGTGTTCGTATTTGTGAAAGACGCGATGAAAAAGTAATTTAGTGGAAATAAACGATATTTTACTAAATATGTATACACTAGCACCAAAACATTGACAATTAATTGAAGATCGATGTAAACTCTGAAAATTTTAAGAGCAGAATAAGAATTGTATCATCTACGCTTAAATAAAAAGGCAAGCCCTATATCGCACTATGAAGATTTGCTAAAGATTCAGTTAGAAATTTGATAGAATAAAAAACTCCTACCTAGAGTTTCAACAACTATCATATAAAGCAGATAAAACTTAGAAAATCATGAAATTTTATTAAAAATTACTTTGTTTCTATAAATAAGAACGCTGCAAGATGCAGAATTAGTCAATAACCTATGCTCTCAATCGTTTCTACGGTTATTCAGTAATGTCTAGACTCAATCTTGGAGCAAAGCTCCATAGATGGAAATCTCAGATGTGTAAATGTGGAAAGGACACTGTGGACTGCAATTGTACATTGAGGAATATGTAGATTTGTATGAGATGTGGACTATCAACGTCGTTCTTCAAACAACCATCAACTTTAGGCTTAATTTTTATCTCGTCATTTACTAAGACCTGCCTATGACAGTAAATGGCGAAAACTACAGATTTCTCCCTTCTTTCGATCAAACATTATATCAGAAGAGAATGAGAGGTCACTTGTTTCTGAAAATAGCAGTCAAGTTATTTATACGTCCGTTTTTACCATAGCTGTAAATGTATTTTCCAAACTTTTAAAGACGAATTTTTTGATGATTTGTATTCAAACGATTTCTGTCGAATATCAATACCCACTAAAATAAACCCAAACAAAACGAATATTTGGTCCAACTATCGAAATGACTTTGTTAGTGAAGCTTTCTACCTGTAGGTGCTAGTTTTTCATTATACTTTCCATCGACATATTGATTTAACAGACATGTCTAAATAGAGATAAAAAATCCCAATTGTATTTATCTCAGGTATTATTCACAAGGTACTTAATAAAGTTTTGTTTGTGCTTTAGTCACTCACCTTTCCTACACCTGAATCGCCTAAAGCGAGAAATTTCAAATTCAGATCATTTTCCATTGTTTTTCTTCAATGATCAGTGTGTCAAATGGTAAACAAAAGTCTAAAATAGAAACACAGAAAAAATATTATTGTGGTGTTGTAAACCGTGTATGTTATATATTATAGTAGAATTCATTGACAGAAAAATCTTTATTACTCAGTTTACTATTTGTCTTATTTTTTTTTATTTCTTGTGCATACAATATAAAATGAAAAATATTTTGTGTTGTGTACAACAGGTGCTTGCAGTGACTAATATAATGGTGACATATTTTTTTCTATCGTTCAACATTCTCTAACTTAAACAGATCAATATAATTATCTGTCAGGTATAAAAAAAAAAATTGTACAAATTATATAGACTAATTGTACATATTATACTTTATTGTTTCAAAATGCAAATGAGTATTCTCCAACTTAAACTAACGAAAAACGTTAAAATCGATTTCATACGAATAGAGAGACTCGACCCACAGTGGGCATTTTTTCACAGAGCAGGCGGACATCTGATTTTTTGAGTTAGAAAATGATTATTTTAGCATAATATGGTCTTACTATGTGTCAGATATTAGCAGAAGTAAAAAAGTCGAATTCGAAAAAAAATTTTTTTCGACAAAAAGTTGCTTAGGGGGACCCTTGCGCTGAATTTTTGTCAAAAAATGTTTTATTTGTAAGACTAACAAACTATACATCATTCGACGTAGTTTTTCACGGTGATTCCGAATATGACTTTATGTTATGGAAAAAGTGCTCTTATGGGGGAGAAAAACGCGAATTACCTCCAAAACCCTATGGTTTTTTGTAAAATCAATAACTCGACTTAGAAAAAAAGACGAGATCATCATAAATACACGATAGGCTGAGGAACATTTTCATATAATTAGAAGGTCTGTTCAGGCTTAGCGCTTTTTAGCGCTGTCACTGCACTGAGGTTGTCTCATGTCGGACCGTAGTAATCTAGACTACTAGACCTTTTTTCGTTTCGTACAAGATGCAAAAGGAGT